GGCCCCTGGTCTAGAGACTGTGAATTTGTTAACCCTCTCTTTTTCTTCTCCTAGCTGTTCCCCATCCAGTATTTCCCAGCTTCTGCCTTCTGAACTATGTCCCTCTGCAAACCACTGTTCCAAATCTATACTGCCCTCCTGCTCCTGGGAAGATTCAGGAGCAGGAGCAGGAGGAGGGGAGGCTCCCACCATTCCTCCTCAGTGCATCCCTCCTCAGCACGGTCCCTGACATTAGGGTGCACAGCTCCCCCAGCCTTGCCCTGATTCTTTTTTCTGCTAAAGAAATCAGTAACACCCCCCCTCCCTGCACAGCAGGCTGCTTCATCCATTTTACTTTACCATTTCCTCCTTAGCTGTTATCTGTGATCTCATTTATTTGCTCTGCTTCCAATCCCATCTCCTCACTCACTGCCTTGACCTTTGTTTCAGCTCTCTGTCCGTAGATACACTCCGCTTCTGTACATAGAGCCCCACACCTGATTTCTATCTATTTACGGAGTCAATTCACTGGGTCTATTCACTTTATTGCATTCACTTCATTGTCTTTTTTTGCTATGACACTTGAGAGAGATTACTCTCCTGATTCCTTATATTGTAGCCCATGCCACATCCCTACAACAGGCAGCTCCCTCAGGCTGTCTACTGTAGCCTTCCTCAAACTGGTGCCCTCCAGAGGAAGCCCACCAAGTGGAAGCAAATAGGATGGCTGGCTCTCTGTATTAGTGATTGACTAGTAGGGACTGCCTGGTGCTGCCTGGGACTTTGTAGAAACCCAAAGATACTGTGATTTTTAAGTACAGTGGTACCTCAGGTTACATACGCTTCAGGTTATATACACTTCAGGTTACAGACTGCGCTAACCCAGAAATAGTACCTCAGGTTAAGAACTTTGCTTCAGGATGAGAACAGAAATCGTGCTCCGGCAGCGCGGCAGCAGCAGGAGGCCTCATTAGCTAAAGTAGTGCTTCAGGTTAAGAACAGTTTCAGGTTAAGAACGGATCTCCAGAATGAATTAAGTACTTAACCCTAGGTACCACTGTAGTGCAATTTGTGGTTTTTCAACCCATCACGCCAAAAATCAGGCAATTATGCCAAAGGCACATTTTGATCCACCACCTTGAATCAAAATGGTGCCCAGCATCGAAAGGTCAATGAAGACTGCCACCCCCAACTCATGCCAGGTTTGGCAACAATATCTCAAGCGTTGGCAGGATCTATGCTGAGAAATGTGGGATGTAAAACTGCAGTCATGTACAACATTCCTGCAGTGGACATGTTACGGGATGGGTTTTTTTTGTACCACTCAGGAGAAGACTTCCTGTTTCCTCTTGAGCTGAGACAGACTTCTACTACGTGTGACTTGAAGAAGGTGTGGTCTGCTGTACTAGCATGGAGGTGCACACGGCCTCCATGTTCTGATCAGTGTGTGTTTTGTATGTTGCTGTGTGTTTGAAGAAGTGACTGCTTAGTCGCAGTCACTGGGGACTAACTTCTTTATGGAATAGTTCTAATTGTTAAGTAACCTAAGCCTGCCTTCAGGGATATATCTGTGAACATTAATGAATCTGTGAGTAAACTACTTTTATATTAACCGTTAATCAGATTCTTGTGTTTATTCTTTTTAAGAAGAATTAGAAGGAATTTTACCAGGAAGGAATCTTTAATAGTAAGACTCAGATGAGTCAGCAACAAGCTGATCGCTGCGTAATTTAAAAAGGGGGATGTTTGGAACTCTGCTAGAATATGGAACTTGCTAGCACAAGTCAGGAAGGATATCATTAAATAATATATCCTCTCCAGCCTCCCTAATCATCCCCACAAAAAACAGGCAAAGTCATGGCAATTCATGCCAAAGAAGTCGCACCAAATTTGTGTTTCATTCCAGCATCTTGATTCAAAATGGTGCCCTTCCCTCACCTTGGGAAGTCTTGTGCCAGGTTTTGTGATGTTATTTCAAGAAGTGGCTGAACCCATGCCAAGAAAACAGGCAGAGTCATGCCAAGCCACATTTGAGTTCGCCGTTTGATTCAAAATGGTGGTCAGTGGCCAAACATCAACAGCGACTGCTGCCCCCAGCTTGGAAACCCTTGTGCCAAGTTTGGCAGTGATATCTCAAGAGGTGGCTGAACCCACAGAGAACAGATGGACAGACAGGCTGACAAACCACTTTCCATAATATATAGTAGATTGTTTCATTACCTGACATATATGTACTGTATTGCAAAGTTGCCATTTTGGAAGTAGCCCTCAGAAGGCAGCTTATATAAAAAGATAATGAAGCATTGATTTTAAATGTCAATCCAAAATTATTATGAAAACAGTAACATTAAAAGGCAGTTTATAGGCTGGGCTTATTCTGAAAGACAACCAGAGGATATTTGGGGGTCTGCGAGCAAAGAAGTATAAGGCTCTTTGTACACTATGAAAGCTTGAGTAGAAGGGAGAATTTTGCCAATTGCAGCTTGTCATGCCTGGGTAAATAAGGGCCTACTTCTCAGAAACAGCTGATGTAACACGGGTGGTGGGTGGGTTAAACCACAGAGTCTAGGGCTTGCCGACCAGAAAGTCGGCGGTTCGAATCCCCGTGACGGGGTGAGCTCCCGTTGCTCGGTCCCTGCTCCTGCCAACCTAGCAGTTTGAAAGCACGAAGTGTTAGGTTGTGGGTGAACATATCATACAACACAGTGATTCTTCAAACAGCTCTTGTTTATTCAAAGGCCAGAACAGAACTGAACTGAACTGAAGGGTTCAGCCAGCCTGCTTATATAGAGCTCCACTACAACACAACAGTAAAAACTTTCTGTAACTATCCAATCACTCAACATCACTTTCAATTCCTTATTCGCATATGTGGATCTGAGTGAACACTATCTACAGTATCCCCCTGCTGGCCCAGGGTGAGAACTTCAGTATATAACACGAAGTGAAAATAGATAAATAGGTACCGCTCCGGTAGGAAGGTAAACAGCGTTTCCGTGTGCTGCTCTGGTTTGCCAGAAGCGGATTAGTCATGCTGGCCACATGACCCGGAAGCTGTATGCTGGCTCCCTTGGCCAGTAAAGCCAGATGAGCGCCACAACCGCAGAGTCGTCCACGACTGGACCTAACAATCAGGGGTCCCTTTACCTTTACTCTCAGAAACAGCTGATGTAACAGGGACTGAGGGTTATATCCTTTAAATCAATCCATCAATCAATCAATCAATCAATCATTTTATTTGTATGCTGCCTTTCCAAAATTAAAATCATGCTTAAGGCAGCTTACAGCGTATAAAAAATTACATCATTACAAACATAACCACAGTAGTCATAAACAATAAAAAAACATCCAAAAGTACCCAACCAGAATGAACAATTTCCACAGAAATCGTAGTAAGATCTAAAATAAAGATACAAAAAAATATATCAATAATAGCAACAACTCACCACCCCAAGAAAACCCCCTAAACAATACTCTGGCCCAAGAGTAGCTGGAGTCAGTTAGGGCCCTGGTCTCTCAGGCCAGGTGGAAAAAGGCCCGCAAATCAGGGAGCAGGTCTTCCAGGACTCTCATCCCAGATGGTTCAGACTACGAGTGGAGGTTCGCGTCGCTGAATGCTTCTGCTTATAGCCAATAAATTGATCAATAAATCCCTGCATGTCTTAAAACTAAATGCCAGTTGAAACATTTCTGACATGTTTATTTTCTATGGGAATGGCTCTTTTATGTGCATAGGGCAGGAGGGGGAGTACTGTGTCATATGAGTCCCGCTTTCTCTCTGAAGTGGTACAGTCCAAACACAAAGCTTACTACCAAACCTGCTGTTTGTGAGAATGAAGCTAAAATAAGCCTGACAAAACTCAATCACATACGTCCTGTCACGTGTTGGAAGCCTTATGCACAACTGAAGCAGCCCCCTTCAGACTAAAGCCCATCGGGTGTTGGCTGAGAAATGAGCCCAGCATATGCAGCAGCACTGAGGGGGCAGGATTCACCCCACACACTCCCAAATTAGCAATGTTACAGCAAAAACACATTTTGATTGTGTGTTGCGTTCCCTCCTTGGAAAGAAAAAATCCTGGAAAAAACACGGAGGGATTATTGACCTCCGACCTCAACACCAAAGAGATACTGGATGCTGGATGCTGCCAGGACATTAAACAAACACTCAGGGCGGTTGGCCTGAGGATGTTCGTACACTTCTCCAGTTACCTAATGTAATCTTTTTGGGGTGGAGGGATGGGGATTGGCATTGCGGAAGAGTGCTTCCCCACTGGATCAGCCAATTAAACTCTATAGATTCTGACTTATACATCACATTCACTGCCACCCCCCACATTGTAATCATGCCGGTTTTGACCTGGATTAGCTGAAACTGAGTCTGCTAGAAATGCATGCGAAAGCACCTGTTGTATCTTTTTTTCCAAGGCTATCTGTCTCAAGTGTCAGTCAGATGCACTTTATGCTTCTTATTTTTAGCAGTCATGCAATTTTGAACAAGGTGTGTGTGTGTGGCGTGGACAATAATTGCAATGTGTTTTCTCTCCCCCCACCCCATCAAGCTACTTTGCAGCAAGCCCCTTTTAAAGGGTCTCCCGTCACTGGCTTGGATGCACTTTCTGCGAGTTGGCCAGCACGGCCCACCCCCTTCTTGCTGACGTCTGACTCTATCGTACATCAGACTTTCCCCAGTGGTGCTGGAGAACGAGCTTCAATGAAAGCTGCCTGCTCGCAGTCTGAAAGGGACTGCAGGCGATGGAACTGCAACTTCCTCCGCTCCTCTTTGCTTCCCCTGGAGCACTGAGCCAGAAATACCCACGGGAGGGATGGAGAGGTTATCTGATCATCTAGCCCTGCAGGAGCAACCCCCTAGTTCCTTGTGAATCACTTTTCTCTGTCCACTGCTGCTGGAGGGGATCTATTGCGCTCTTCCAAAGAGGCTGAGACTGGGAGAAATTCTGCAAGGAGGTGGATGATGCTTGCGCTGGCTGAGTAAAGTTGTGGCTTCCTAGCCTGAGACGATGGTTTTGTCTGTCCCAGTGATTGCTCTGGGAGCTACCTTGGGGACTGCTACTGGCCTCCTTGCCTTATGCGGTCTCACCTGCCTGTGCAAATGTAAGCAACCTGGGAAGGGAGCCTCAGACAAGGAGCAAGATCAGGACCCAGAAAATGCCAAGCCCAGCGTACTACAGACAGTCCAGCAGGTAAAGCACCATATTGATTTTGCCCTACTCTTCTCCCATTGATGCAGCGGCTTCAGAACAGCGTGCTCTGAGCTGGGGTGCCCAGTTTGTGATGTACTGTGATTGATAGCAAGCTTCTGTGTTTGCAGGGATTCAGGGGGCAGCTCTACTTCTGTGCAGGGAGGAAGACAGAAGGCGGCGGGGGGGAGGGAGGGGTCTCAGGTGGCGTGTGGGATTACCAAAGCAACAGCCCGCTTTTGTTTTATGAAAGAGAGAGAGAAAGCAGGGGTGGCAAACCTACAGGGATCCCACAATGTCTGGGTGGCTAGACCAGGTTGATTTGCATAAAGAGCCTGGACGCCAAGCGAAAAAATAACCGAAATAACAGTAATCATGCTTGAATGTTTCCTAATGCCCACTGATCTTTCCATTTCCATGCATGTATGCACATACGCTTCTGCTGCACAAAAAAAGCCTTCTGTGTAACTAACTAGCGTATATACATATTCATACTGAAATATGTTTGTGAAATTTTAAAATAAGGCATCCCTATCCAGCTGGCAGTCGAAATCTAATTATGACATATGTCATGACAGCTATGGAGAGTCCTGTTACACTGTAGTGAACTTAACTTATAATGCATGTTTAGCTTATTGCGTTATCTCAGTGTTTGCCTAAATGAGGAGTGGAAGCAAAGTGATTGCAGTATATCAGTTGGAACCAGAAATAAGGGTGGCCCATCTGACATAATTTTGGTAACTGGCCTTGAAGGAAAGGGTTCAGATTCCATCCCAGTTATGGACTTGTTGAATGGGTAGGTATGGGTAAATCATTCTCTTTTGGCCTCAGTTGCCAATCTGGAAAATGGGTATCCATGGCCTATTGCACAAGCTATTATATTATTGCTGGATAAGTTGACAACAGTCTTAACAACAATAGCAATATATATTTGGCTAATCTGGCTGAAATCTGAGTTGAGAATTATTTGTTTCTTATAAATGATGGAACTTGCCCTCAAAGTGGCTATTGATTCCTGTTCTGAGATGTAAATGTTTTGTTTGTTTGTTCTTTGCTTAAGATGATATATTGCCTTTGTTGGCAAAATCGTCAGCACTTTTCAGTCTTTCTGCTGACTTTCCCCCACATCAGATTGATCAAGATTATGGTGATGCAAACTGGCCACAAACCAGTGCAGTTAGAGCGACAGAAATACATTGGTATAAGCTTAGCCTTAGTGAAATATCTGTTCATACTAGGCTCATCCCTTACATTTCAGGAGAGAGGCAGAGCACTCACAGCCTTTGTTCAAGCACACCTATGATTCTCTCCTTGTTATAAGCCCAGGACTACCCAGTGATATCCATAGTGGAGAGAGTATGTCAATAGGGCTTTGTTATGGCTGCACCACACTGTGTCATCTGATCTTACTAATTGCAGTCCTGTATACCGTGTCCCTCCTCTTTCCTTTAGCTTATACAAGCCTTCTGTGATTGGATTGCAGGGTGTGGGTGGAGGAGTTAAGAAAAGTACATGGAAAAGTCAGATTTATTTTTTTTAAGGGGAGGAATATAACTCAGTGATGAAGCACATGTTAGAAGTCCCTGGTCCAGTCCTTAGTACCCTCGGTTTTTTAAAAAGGTTTGCAGTGGTTTGGCTGGAAAAGACTTAAGCCAGAACTCTTGGAGCAGGGGTACCATCTAGGGGAAGCCAAATTTTCAAGGAGGGGTCCAGGCCCCCACAAAATCCTGCAGCAGCTGTGTGCACACGGCACATCAGCACGCCTCCCGACATGCGCCAGTGACGTCAGCATGCCCTGCGGTCAGGGGCGGAGGAAGGGTGGGGGTGTGTGTGGACTGCCCCGGGTGTCACCACTGAGAGGGGTGACAAAATGCCTGGCGGCACTCACTGCAGGGCCTGCAGTGTGCCCGAGCCATGCGTGGCTTGGGCACGTGCAGTCTCTGCACTGCCCAAACGGTCCACCCACTGCCTCCCCCCCCACACCTGTAGGGCGGCTGAGTGGGAGGAGGCAGGTAGACTCTGAAGGCCCCGCGGTGTGCCCTGCCCCTATGGGCAGCTCGCCCCAGGCGCCTGAGCGATTTCCTCCACTGCTACCTGCAGTGTGCGCACACAGCCATGTGTATGTCACATGGCCCGGTCCCCTGGAGAGTTGCCGTCCATTAGAGTAGACAGTGCTAGTACAATGGGCCAATGGCCTCAGTCTGTTAACTTCATATATTCCTCCCTGCTTGAATTTATACCAGATTGTAGCTGTTATATATACAGCACTTTATAGTCATGCCTTAGTTATCAAACGCCTTGGTACTTGGATGTTTTAGCTCCTGAACACCGCAAACCCAGAAGTGACTGTTCCGGTTTGCAAACGTTTTTCAGAAGCCGAATGTCCGACGTGGTTTCCACAGCTTCCGCTTGAGTGCAGGAAGCTCCTGCAGCCAATTGGAAACCGTGCCTTGGTTGTTGAACTGTTTTGGGAGTCGAAAGGACTCCCAGAATGGGTTAAGTTCAGCAACCAAGGTACGACTGTATAACCCTACTACAGTGGTACCTTGGTTTACAAACTTAATCCGTTCCGGAAGTCCGTTCTTAAACCGAAATCGTTCTTAAACTGAGGCGTGCTTTCCCTAATGGGGCCTCCCGCCGCCAGTGCCCTTCCACCGTTCAGCTTCTGTTCTTAGATTGAGGTAAAGTTTGCAAACTGGGACACTACTTCCGGTTTTTTGGAGTTCATAAAATGAATAGTTCGTAAACAGGGCTGTTTTTAAACCGAGGTACCACTGTATCACTCATCCTCATGGCAAATTTTGATGCAGTTTTCATTTTTTAAAGTCCATAAGCGAATACCACTTTTAAATGGAACCAGACAAATACCAAAGCCAGCACTTATTTTCGGGTTGCCATACATCCAGATTGCCCAGACATATATGGAACACTGCATTCAGCAGCAGTGTTTGGGTGGAAATTGTCAAAAGTGTCTGGGAGTGCCAATTTTCCATAAAAATAGCTCAAAATGGTCAAAAAACAACTTTGGGCAAAACTAAAAATGAAACAAACCTTTCTGTCCAGATTTTCACTGTTTGAAATATGGCAACCCTAATCATAAGGACTCCTAATCCTTCTGTTGTGCTTGAAGTTAATGATCTTTTGCATTTCAGAGATGAGCAAATCTTATTGTTGCATCTCATAAACTAGAGCCCACTTCATGAGATGCATGAAGTGGGAGCCACAGTTGCCATGCACATTCTGCACATAGGCGTAAAGAAAAAGAAGATAAAGTCTGCAGCTAAATGGCAATGGAATCCAAGAAGTACAGCCAGTGACAATAAAACTGGGTTTTAAATTAGGCAAGCCAGATATTATTAAATTACAGTATCCAAAGCCCTTGCCAGCATGAGCAAAAATGATAGATGTCCAAAGGATTTAAGCTCTAGTTGTGTTGTCACAAACCTTTCTTTTCCTCTCTGCACCCATGCATTGAAAATACCGTACCTGATTACTGAGGATCATGTCTCTGATTAACTATGGTCTAGTCTGCAAAAGCTTATGCCATAACAAAATTAAATAGTCTTTGTTGTTTTTGCTGCAGCAGACTAACATCTCTCTGGAAATCTTTTAAGTGTTTACTCAGAAGCCTGTGCACCAACTTCATTAAAGCTTATTCCCAGCCAGATCAAATCAGAGGTCGTTACTTCACACAATCTGGCACACATACATCTAGTCCTAAATGATACACTCACAAATCCCATATTGACTCTCACTTTTCCTCCTTTGTCTTGTGAAATGTCTCTCTGTAATGGTAGGTCTACAGTGGCTGTTTCACCCGTTCAAGTTAATCATCATCATCATCATCATCAAAAAACATAATAAAAGCATCAATCCTTAAAAACTTCCCTAAACAGGGCTGCTTTCAGATGTCTTGTTTATTTCCTTGACATCTGAAGGGAGCGTGTTCCACAGGGAGGGTGCCACTACCAAGAAGGCCTTCTGCCTGGTTCCCTGTAACTTCACTTCTCACAGTGAGGGAACCAGCAGAAGACCCTCAGAGGAGGACCTCAGTGTCCGGGCTGAACAATGAGGGTGGAGATGCTCCTTCAGGTATACTGGGCTGAGGCTATTTAGGGCTTTAAAGGTCAGCACCAACACTTTGAATTGTGCTCAGAAACGTACTGGGAGCCAGTGAAGATCCTTTAGGACCGGTGTTATATGGTCCCAGCGGCCACTCCCAGTCACTAGTCTAGCTGCCGCAGTCAATACTGAATTCTGCCATCGACAAGTGAGGAACATGAATGTGTGAATTGGCACTGTAATTACATGATTAAAGAGGCAGTCTGTCTTTGAAGGTGGAAGATATCCTTAGATAACTTGCCTGCGTAATTCTGATTCCCCCCCCCCCTTCTGTTTTCAAAAATAACCAGGCTTCTCTTGCCAGGAACAAGCCTTCCTTTTCCAAGCGTCTGCTTCAGAACAAGTGCATATGTGTTTCAAACCTAAGCCTCAGATGGATTTGTTTGTGTGGGAAGTGTATTCTATCTGTATCCATTTATATCGGTTCCTTAGCACATATACACTGTTATAGTTTTCCATCAGTGGGAAGAGAACAATGTTTGGAACAGAGATGCTGAATCTTGTCAATATCGGGGATTGTGACACGGTCATGGAGGGGAAGCTAGAGTATGTTTTTTACACATAATTGTATTCTTGCCTTTCTACACTGCAAGAAATGTCATGCATTGCAAAAGAAATCCAAAATAATAAATTCAGGTTCTCCAGTTCTGAGAAATCTACCTAACAAAAATATATTTTGCATATGGTTTGGTGTTTTGAGATGGGCTGGCTTACAATGGGAATCTACTATTCTGAGTCAGTTGGTGTTTGTTCAACCCTAGCAACCAATTCAGTCTCTCTCTCTCTCTCTCTCTCTCTCTCTCTCTCTCTCTCTCGTTCAGAAAAGAAAGCAGAAAGGTTGTGCTTTCAGGGCTTGTCATATTTCAAACCTGTACATATCATCTTATTTAAGATGTGGTGGTTGCATTTCCATTTGCAAAGGGGATGGGAGTCTCTTAAATCATCAGCTGTCACAATTTGAGAAGCAGAACTTGTAGTATTCACAATAAACAAAAGCAGATGCAGCTGGAGAAGAGGCGGATTGGTCCCCACAGCACTTGTGTATGGCTCCCCTGGGGGCTGTCGGTTGTTATGCAATGATGGATTGCCTGGTGGAGTGTCTGGCTTTTGGCACGAAATGATGGCAGCAACAATAGCTCATGTCTCGTGCTCTCCACTGCAAGGCGAGCCCACCGCTACATGCCTGATATAAAATATACTACAACACAATCACACACCCTGACTTGTGCTGTAGCCAAAAGCATCCATCTGAACATTGGAATTGTTATTTGTGTGGACACAACCATGCATATACAAGGGATAAAACTTGTACATCTATCAGCCCCCTACTTCCCGTAGCTTAAAACAAGGAGGAAGGCACTTGAAAAAGAAAAAATCCCAAACCACATTTCCTTAAATGTTAGATGTTTTTAACTATAGCAACCAGACATTGGTCCACTTTGAAGCTAACCAAAAGGGGGAAGGGATTACAGGAACGGAGCAATCTGCCTTAGACTAGGTGGCCCACTTCTCAAGTTATGGTTCATGGGATTGAGTAATGGGATAATAGAAAAAACAAAAGCGTACAACAGGGATGGAGAACCTGCAGCCTGCCAGATGTGGCTGGGCTAAAACTCCCATCATTCCTGTCCATTGGCTCTGCTGTCATGGGCTGATGGGAGATAGAATCCCACATCTGGAGAGCCACAGATCCCTCTCCTCTTCTGTACAGCATACAGAAAATGTCATTATGCAATCCAGTGTTAGGTGTCCAGGGGAAATGGAGTCATTGTCCTATTATTACTAACTCTGAGGTGCTCTCAAGCTGTGAGCCATGCAAGGGAGGCTGCATGGCAACAGTGGTGTAGTGTGGGAGGGGGCCATGGCACAAAATTATGAGAGGGCACCACCAGATGCCCCCATGCAGGCGCAGGCTTCCGCGGGGATCCCTGTTCTGGCGGCAGAGTAGCACAGGCCAAGGTGCGCAGGCACGGACAGAGTGAGGCGGGCAAGGGGCAACCCCAGCGCAGCCTGGCCCAGCTTTCCTCTCTGTGGGCATCGGGAAGATTCGCCTGCCAAGGGTTGTGACAGCTGACAGGGCTCCTCTCTGCGTGGGCAGGCAGGCAGTACTATGTGGCCCCAGGTTATTTGTGGGGGGGGGGAGACACTACAGCAGCATGGTGGCTTGTTCGCCCTGGGCACCAGCAACCCACATTACACCACTGCATGGCAACAAATGGTAATACTATGTTCTTCTGGCATGACCCAGTGCAGTGCCATAGGGAGCTAGAGTACCCCCATTCGACATTCAGCTTGGCAATCAAATACTCCAGCTCCAGGGATTATTTTCTCCAGGAAACAGGGCATAAAAAAGTATGCATGTTCATTTTTCCTAATATACACATTTGTTTAGGCAAGTTGAACAAGCATAATGCATTTTTATATATTATTTTTGCTAAGGTGTGCATTTTTGTATGCGCTTAACATAAACATTTCTGGTTGGAAAACGATTGTGAAATCTGTAAAAGTGTGAATTTCAAAGGATAGCTGTGTTTCTGTTTCTGTTTTGTTTCAGGGAGTGTGAATTAGGTAGATTCACATAAAAATGTTAACAAACGGACCATAACAATCCATAACAGAATCCATAACAGAACAATCCATAACAGAAAAAGGACCATTCAATCCATAACAGAGAGAAGGATGAAGAGTGGGAGGAAAGCATCTAAAAAGAATAAGAAAACCAGGAAAAAATAGGATTATGGAAGCAATAGCCATGGGTGAATTAATTTAAAAACAAACTGCCTTTGATTTATGAACCATTGTGAATTCTGTCAGTACAGTGTCAGCCTTCATAAGCATGCCCTCTGTTGAAGAAGCACCATGTTAGAAATTCTGAATTAATGCAATCAGTATAATTGATGGGGTTCTTTCATTTCAGTTCAATGTTGAGAAGACGGCAGAAGCTGTACAGCCCAGGACAATCCTCAAGTTTCCACATATCTATGATCCGAAGCCAGTAGTGACCACATCGGAAATTGTTAACTGTGCAGATTATACCTTAAAGAGGATGAAAGAGCCAAGCAAGGGGAAGCCTACAGCTCTGGATGAGAAAAGAATGAACATTCGTGTCAATGAAGAGTTATTCATTCTCCCTCAAAATGGTGAGCACCTTGCCAAACTACATGTGGTTGCTTCCAATTCAGATTAGTGACCCTAATGTCTCAACAAATGAAACAGATTTGTAAAAATGTTACATGGAAAAAATACGAGGCATTACACTTACTTCTGTAAAACAAGAAAATCTTTAATAAAAAACAAAACAAAAAACAAAACAGATTAGTGACCACACTATTTCCTCTTTCTGATTTCAGTTCCCAGTACAAATGACCAATTGGCAAGTTAGTGAAGTCTTTAAGATTAAGCGGGAGGGTTGGAGGGTTTTTTTAGTGCAAGTTCAATATAAGTTTAGAGCTCCAGTGCAAAAAGTGTACAAATCAATCCTATAATTTAGATTATTGTAACTTGGAGCAAATTCTCTGTATTCACCTCTAGCAATGTTCAGCAGCCCTATTGATTTTTCCCTGTCCACAACCATCCTTTTAAGAGCACTTCTTTTTCTTGTGACAGCTCCAATCATTCTGTTTTCCTGGGGATTTTCCAGCAGGCTTGTACATGGTTTATAGAGAAATTTATTTTTAACCTCAGAAATCATTTGGCACTTGGTTTCCCCAGCTTCTTCAGGGCATAATGCCACTGCTTCAGCTACTACTGACCCAGTGATGAAATAATAACGAGAAGTGTTTTAGGGAAGGGATAGGATAGGATGAATTGAACATATCTGCCTTGGGAGAACTCTAGGACCAGAGCTTTAAATGTGTAACAGTTGTTGACAGCTCAGTATGTAGTAAGAACTGTAGTGAATCTCCGAATATTCCTCGCCCAATTAATGTTAAAAACAAGAAATCAGATTCCAAATGGTTCTCCACTGAGCCCAATGATTTGCATATGTAAAATAAATACATGTATTTAATGTGATTTCCTTTAACAATTTATTCCACTACAAGGATTCGGGTTTTTAATGAATATAATTTTTTTAATGTGTGTGTGCAAGGACTGTGATAGCAGAGAGGGAAAGAGGAGAAACAAACGCTCTCCAGAGCATCATGGTCTGATGCTCAACAGGAACAGTTGCTTTGAGAATAGACTATGGAAGAGGGGAGGATGTTGGAGTCCTGCATCCTGGATCCCAGGAGAGCCTGGTTAAAAGCATTTCAAACAATTTAGAGCATAAGCATTGCTTTGATGAATCAAGCCAACAAGCTATGGAGCTGTAGTCCATACAATTCAATATTCCATTTTATACTAAAACAGGGGGATTAAATCCACCACATTTTGAGGAGCGGAAGAGCCATGGCTCTTTCACTGAGCACCTCTTTTGCATGGAGAAGGTCCCAGGTCCTGTCTACAACATCTCCAATTACAGATGGAAACGTCTGCCATCTGAAACTTTGGAGAGCTACTGAGCTCAATGGACCAAAGAGTCTGAGTCAATATTGGGCAGCTTCCTATCTTCCTACATTCCTGAGCAGCTTCTCCTTGGGTTTCAAAGCTTTCAACCAACGTTCATACGGATTTCACCGGTTTTGTCTGTTCCTTTGAGGCTGTACATAGTTTGATCTCATGTGAGGCATCTGATGAAGTGGGCTCTAGTCACAAAAGTCCAAAAGAGTCTTCCCCAAACCTTGTACCACCCAGATGTTTTTAACAGCAGCTCCTATCATCCCCAGGCAGCAAACAAAGTGCAAACCCTAAGTTTAGTAGTACAGTGAGCAAGAGAGGCTTTTGTCCATTTCTTGAAAGAGCAGTTTGTAAAATGGCATGCAGGTCAGGTGTCCAAAGAGGGAAAGAAGGTTAAAATCTTGAATCGAGTTATTGCAAGTCCTTTGAGGGGTTTTTTTCCATATAAAATCTGTGGCCATGTTTCCAAAGTGAGTGGTATAAAATATATCTAGAATGGAGGAGGACCAAGATCTAGACATTTTAACTAATGTCTATTGAAAATGATAAATCTAACCTTGCAAAAATATATTAAAAATCTGTTGAAATGTCGCTTTCTATAAAAGGGTCATTGATTCATGCCAAGTCAGCTTACCTTTGATGGTCAGGCAACATTGCAGACTGGCCCCGGCCCCCATCCCAATCTGGCAGCATGCTGGGGTGGGAGGCCTGGCCAGTGTGTGTGGCCTGTTGCTTTGTGCACTGACCAATCACAGGCAGGCTGGGATACAGGCCCTCCCTAAGGGTTGGGCCAACTGCACCTGTGGATCCGCTCCTGAAGGTTAAATCAAGGCCAACTGGGCCTCACGCAGTTTGTCCCTGGGTCTCCCACTCTTCCTCCCTCTTATAGTAGGCTTCTTGTATGTGCTTGGCTTTGCTATTCTTGAAATAGCATATTTTTACCTGAATCACATATTTTAAATTTCCCTCCAGCCTAAAAATCTTGAATAGAGCCAAGATAAAGAACTTGCTATCAATAAAAGATAGTTCCAATTATGACTAGAAACACAAAACAATGGTGGAATGCCAAGGTAATTTGATATGATGTAATCAAAGAGGAAAAACAAATGTAGCCAAATTTGACTGCAACAAGAGGCATCCTCTTATTAAAAGACCCATGTGTGTTCCAGGTGGAGTGAAAGATGTATGTGTCACTGAGTGTCTGAACCCTGAGAAAGTTGGTGGCTGCAACCAAGTCCCAGAACTTCGCTATTCTCTTGGCTACAACCAACAGAAAGATGCACTGTGTGTTGCTTTTCTTGAAGGTAAGGAGCCCATATCTTTGCATTTTATCAGTTGTGGCAACTTTTCATTTGAAAGCAAAATCATCCAACAAGCTCTCCTTACAGATATGAGTAGTAAACAGATCCATAACAAATTTAGGATCCCACATTTTGTTACCATCTCATTTCATATATAAAACCCCCGCAAAGCACGTAACTGAACATCTTGTTTTACAGATGGCAAACAGAAGCCAAGACATTTTGAGCCTTGTGCAAAGAAACTGCAGTTTGGTGGACCAGTAATAAGTGTATGTGCCCCTGCGCTCTCCTTGCCTCCCCCTTCTTCCCCTTACACATGCTGCTTGAGCAAAAGGTTTCTTAAATCACAGTTTTCTCTCTGGTATTTGAACTGAGATTAAGGGCTCCCTACAAACCAGGATCTTAAAGCCCATCAGCCACAATTTCCTGGTTCAGGTGTCCTGGGAAACTGGAGGGAGTGCACAGGCAGACACATAGGTAATTTGCAGCTCACTAAACCATGGTTCATTCTAGCAGGATTATTACATCTGAATGGGCCAATGAGCTGAAAGCAAACCTGGGATTTAAATTCAGATTTCAAATCGAACAGTTCGCTGGACCACGCTCTCTTATTCCTTTTTTCACTGCCATTGAAGTTTCCAAACCATCATAAGATCTCAGAGATGCAAATACCACCAATTACTGGCAATAAGGGTGGGTGGGGGGAGAGAACCTTTATCCTTGCACAAGGATGGGTTTGAATCGTTTTTATTAAATCAAAATGCTGAAAGAGAAAAACGGCAATTTTTCTCCTAAAAGTACTTTGGTATTCATTTTAAGCACAGTTTATCTTTCTTTCCCTGGTTCTGCAGCTACATATGGAACTGCAGCAGGAGACCAGAACAATGGCTGTGATTGCTATATCCTAGGCACATTGGTGACCAAGTCCAGCACCTCAGAAGCTCAAACTGTGTTGAAGAAGAAGAAGCCCCAGATTGTCTGGGAGGAAGCTCTACTGTTTCCAGTAAAGGAGGAGGAGCTACCTGAGGCAATGCTGACTCTCACCTTGAGAAACTGTGATAAATTCTCTAGGCACAGCATCGTGGGGGAAATTAAACCGAGTCTGGCAAATGTGGGGGAGCCATATGGAACAGTACAGTGTGAGAAGATGAAAACATTTGACAAGGTATCCTATGACTTATATAAGCTATTATTCAAACAAATTGTATTCTCTGGGAGGGAGTGAATATGCTGTGTGCCGATGATGCTGAACCCAAATGTGGACACTGTTCAAGGACTTTAGAGTCCTGAATGCATTTTACTACATAGTAATAATTGCAAGGTTGTTCTTGAAACCTTTGGCCACAAGATTCAGTCTGGAGTTGATGTCATGCTTTGGAAAAGTAACTGCCTCATTCTGAAGTGATTCAGGACCTGCCCAATTAGACTTTGGGCAGTTTGAGTTTTTATTAGGAAAAACAAGATTTAATTTACCCCAACCACTATAAAAGCTTCGCTTTTGACAGAAGTGGATAAAATTTGTAGGCACTATAGTTTCTCCAAAGAGGATAAATGCTGCAAATGATAGGCAAATACATCTAGGGGTTGTTTGTGTGTGTGTTGCTGGACACTTTTAATTTTGATTTGTTTGTTCCTTAAATGGAAACATTTACTATGTCTTTATTTTTTTGACATAACTTTGGATAAATTTGCAGACATGGGAGGCCCTTCTGAGTATATGGATCCTGCAAAAGTTCAGAAGGTTATCTGCAATGGTTTTCCTGCAAGGACAGCATGTAGAGTTTTAGGGTGGGTGAAGAAGGAACCACTTTATCATCCCTAGAGTTTTGTGGGCAATTGGTCTGCAAATACAGTGGAACCTCGGGTTACGTACCCTCCTCTTTACAAATGCTTCAGGTAACAAGCTCCGCTAACCCGAAAGTAGATGCCCTTAGTTGCGAACTTTGCCCCAGGATGCGAGTGGAAGTCGCTCACAGGTGGTGCGGCAGCAGCGGGAGGCCCCATTAGCAAAAGTACGCCTCATGTTAAGAATGGTTTCGGCTTAAGAATGGACCTCCAGAACGATTTAAGTTCGTAACTGGAGGTACCACTGTAGCAGAGAGAGGTTTCCTGAGTAAGATGCCTGTCAAATTTCAGACAAAGAGCTCCAGAGTGTGTTTTTGTTTTGTTTTTGCTAAATACTAAAAGGGATTTACTCTGTGGTTCATTTGTGGGCACAGATTCAGTGTCTGTAGGTTATACTGCCTACAGAGCAGCAAACTTTGTTTTGCAGAGTAGGCTGGCTTGGGCATGGGAAACTTCCATATTGTGGGTCAATTTTCACCCAATCCAAAGCCAATTTTCACCCACTCCACTTGCCTAAGCTGCTTCTGCTTGGGGGGCAGGGAGGATGGAGTAAGCTTGAGAGAGGAAACTGCTCTACCTCTACAATTGCCCCCAACTGTGCCTCAAGGTCACTATGTGGTTTGCTGCAAGCATCACATGCCAGACACAATAATGGATTCTTAACAACAGGGCATGATTGTATGGTGATGATGTTGTTGATGATGATGATAAATGACAAAATGTGAGTTCTTGTGCATGTGAGAGCACCGTAACCCAGTAACAAGCAGTGTGTGAAATGGAAATAAACAGAAACACATGCACTAAGGAGAATTTGGTAATAACAACAATAATGTGACAGGCTGGTTTGGCTTACACACATTTACTAAGAAATTAATTATAAAGGATAGACAATGGCCGAATAGAATCACATGAGACAGTGAATGAACTTAAGCAACTCTCAGGAACTGGTCTTCATTGATATACTGCCTCTGATACTGGAGGTAATATATAACCACCATGACTTGTAGGCATTGATAGCCTTATATTTCATGAGTCTAATATGCTGCCCAGGTTGGTGGCCATCACCACATCCTGTGGGAGCAAATTCCATAGTTTGACTATGTGCTGTGTGAAAAAAAATGCTTCCTTTTGTCTGTCCTGGTTCTGCCACCATTCCATTTCATTGGGTTCTAGAGGTCTGAGGAGAAGGAGGAAATATGCTTTCTCCATGCCATGCATAACTTTAATAGTAGTAGTAGTAATAGTAGCAGCAGTGGTAGTAGTAATATAATTTATATGCCGCCCAACAAATTAAAAACCCAATGCAGGACTGCCTTCAAATGTCTTCTAAAAGTCAGATAGTTGTTTATTTCCTTGACATTTGATGGGAGGGAGTTCCACAGAGCAGGCGCAACTACCGAGAAGGCCTTCAGCCTGGTTCCCAGTAACCTCACTTCTCTCAGTGAGGGAACCACCAGAAGGCCCTCAGTGCTGGACCTCAGTGTCTGGGAATGGAGACGCTCCTTCAGGTATACAGGGCCAAGGCCTTTAAAGGTCAGCACCAACATTTTGAATTATGCTGGGAGCTAATGTAGATATGTTAGGACCGGTGTTATATGGTCCTGGGATATAAAGGCCATAATAAAACTTAGAATAAAATACATCCATAAATAGTTCCCCTCCTCCTTTTATACCCCTGTGAACTAGGTCAGATTGAGAGAAAGTGTCTGGTCCAACCTGCCAACCTCCCTACTTGGCTAGCCGCTTCTGCCTCATGGACTCCCTGGGTACCAGGGAGCTCTTTCCAGCCTGGAAACCTGTGGTTGTCAAGATGAGGTGCTGCCCCTTGCCTAGGCCAATTACTCCTCCTCCGAGGCAAGAGCTAGCAGGTGGTTAATTGCACCCCTGAAACAGATGGTCTCTGTCATCTTAGCAGATGGCCTCCAGGATCGGATAATAATACCAAGAATGCCAAGAAACTGCCCGTGCGTAGTTAGCGCAGGCGATCGTATCCAATTATATCTCAAGGCTGACAGCAATATTGTTTCTCCTGCACTCGGCCTTCCTCACAGCCACCCACACAACTGCGACAAGGCAGAGATTCTGCTTCAAACCTGTAAGGAGCAGGTTAACTGTCTTCGAGTTGTGTGCCCCAGTTTCCGATGCGGAAGATATGCAGAGAAAGCCAGGTTTGCGTCATCGGGGACTTCAGAGCGGCAGCCATTACACAGCGAGCTTTAAACATAAGTCCTGAATCATTAATTGAGAGCTAGGCTAGGAGCAAGCAAGATGATCAGAGAGAGGCAGGCACTATTTTTGTCAGCGTGCTTCCGGGAACGAGCTCGTTAGGATTTGTTTTAAAGCTTCGCATGCCCTCGCAACAGCATGGCTGAAAAATAATAATGCTGGCTCTGTCCTCTTTGCTATTCTCCAATGAAAGCCCAGAGGTGAGCTCCTAACTAGCTCAGAAAGGCCACACTGATTCCTGCTAGGACTGGCTCAGTATCAGGACAACACTCGCCAGATCGTAAAAACCACAGGCATGACTAAGTTGTAAGGCTCCTCTTGCATTCCTTCCTGCTGGCTTACATAAAATAAAATGATTGTATTGTGCCATCACCTCATCTATCCCTCATCGTAAGGATGGCTCACTGGGTTTATATAAGGTTCTTGGCTCATTAGTTTCACTGAAACAACACCGAGGCAACTCCACCATGAGACAAGCAGCTGCCACGGCAGACAGATTCGGAGTGTCTTCAAGACAGCTGAGTGGGAAGCAGATCCAAACTGTAGCACAACATCCATTAGAGAAAAATTCTGCCCCACTTGAATGAATGGGAACTGCAAGAGAGCACCTTCCTTCAGTAAGATGCATGCAGGAGGGCTGTACTGATGGGGCCTGTTCCAGGGAAGAAAAGGTGCTGGATTTTTCACCTTGCACCCCAAAAGATTTTTATTCGGTTCTTAAAACCTGATGGGCTAAGTTCATCCTATTTCAGTATTTATGTAAGCTAGCAGAGGGATGGAATTCAGTGAGGGCCTGAGCAGTATGACCTACTTAGTTGCTATCATTTTGAAGTCCCAGTATCTAACCCTTTGCTTGTTTTAAGTTAACAGGAAATATGATCCAGAAAATTAACTTTCAGTTTGTTTACTTTGATCAAAATATTTTATACCGTTCAATAGAGATGCTAATGGCCAGTCATGTGATTTGATGAGCAGAGAGAGAAATACGCAACCCAGCTGATCTTCACAGTAACCTTCAAAGGACATTGTATGGGGGGGGGGGAGATGGCTGCTCCTATAGGTGCATGGGGCACCCATCTTTTTCTCCATATAATTCTCCAAGAAGAATTCTCCAAGAAGTATTATGCCTGTTATGGTATGGAGTTGCTTCCTGGAACTGAATATAAAATAAGTTCATCCATCCCTATGAGCAATCATTTAAGAGAAGCCTCTCCTATCTCCTGTTACAAAAGTAGCCTAGAAAGTGATGCTCTAAACAGAGGCTCAGATGAGAGGATTGAGATGAATGTGTCAGTGGCATTCAGATCTCCAGCATCAATGCTGATCCTTCCATTTTGAGTTTCCCTGGAGAGGCTAGGCTTTCTAAACTAAGTGTGAGGCATGAGTTATTCCAGGCAGATAAAGGTGGCAGCTAACTTTTCATAGAAAATGTGTCAACTCTCAGAAGACAGAACATGACTGTCCCCATCTGTACCATCTAGCCAAGTGAACAAAAAATGGTACCTCGGGTTAAGAACTTAATTCATTCCGGAGGTATGTTCTTAAGATGAAACTGTTCTTAACCTGAGGTACCATTTTAGCTAATGGGGCCTCCCACTGCTGCCACGCCATCGCTGCGTGATTTCTGTTCTAATCATGAAGCAAAGTTCTTAACCCGAGGTACTATTTCTGGGTTAGCAGAGTCTGTAACCTGAAGCGTCTGTGACCCAAGGTACCACTGTAGTATTAATAAAATAATACAGAACTTATATCCAGAAAGTAAGTCAACATCTATAATGAAAGAGGGAGAGATAACAGAGATAACAACAAACTCAAATCCAGCTTGGTTTCAGATTAAACCTCCAAATCACCACAACCATTTATAGAGATTTTATCTAAAGTCCTTTTTCCTGAGTTTTTTTTTGGGGGGGGGCAACCAGTGCATAGGGGGCAACACTGTGTGTTATGAAGCTATTCTTGTCACTCAAAAGACACCAAACCATCAGCTTTGTGTCTTTCATAATATTTAGTTCTGTCCTTAAGATTTTTTTTTAATGGGAATCCCTCTTATTCTTAAGAGGTGAGATTACGTGGACGGGTTCTGTTCCCTTGTCCTCTGAGTAACAGGTCTTTTCAAATAATCCTCCCTCTGTTGAACATTAGCTATCAGAGATTACAGTGGTACCTCGCAAGACGAATGCCTTGCAAGACAAAAAACTTGCTAGACGAAAGGGTTTTTTGAGCTGCTTCGCAAGACGATTTTCCCTATGGGCTTGCTTCGCAAGACGGAAACATCTTGCAAGTTTGTTTCCTTTTTCTTAACACTGTTAATACAGTTGCAACTTGACTTCGAGGAGCAACTCATAGAACGCGGTGTGGTAGCCTTTTTTGAGGTTTTTAAAGACTTTGGTGATTTTTGAAGCTTTTCCAAAACTTTCCCGACACCATGCTTCGCAAGACGACAAAACTCGCAAGACGACAAAACTCGCGGAACGAATTAATTTCGTCTTGTGAGCCACCACTGTATTCTTTTTCAGTTAGGAACACAACCACCGTAGAACCAGTTCTGATGAGGACAGTAGATGAATTTATTAAACATACAAAATAATTTCTTCAAAGAAATTAAACAAGTGGGATGTGCAATAAAATGTTGCCGTATATTCTCCTGTTCATGATTCTAGCCAGCCACCTTTCCCAGGATACTCCATTCCATCCCCCCCACATTTCCCCAGTTTTCTATTTAGTCCCAATATATACTTTGCATGTTATGACCCCTGAATATGCCCAGCCTTCATTGCACTGTTTTCAGTTCCCTCCCCCATTTTTTTTTTTTAATAAAGGGTTTCCCATTTTTTGTACTCCTGTAAACTTTGCATTTCTCCCAAAGTCTCTAATACCTTCTTCTTGTACATGAATGGTGTCATGTTGACTTCATAAATATTGACACACTGAAAATGAGTTGCTTTTAGTATATAGGATTATTGAAGAAAATGTCATCCCCTTATTCCTTTGCCTTTTCTATTCATTGTTGCATCTTTTAAAAGCACACATGTTCATTCTTCCTGCTTCTATGCCCCTTCTTTTTCTATCAGCTGATTCCCTATTGGAGTAACATATGGCTTTCACTTATAAGGGTTGGGAGAGAGATAAATTGCCACTGCAATTGTTCTGTGTTTGGGGATATATGTAGAGAGTCGGACAAATGAGATTGAGAGAAAGAGAGGTCAGAAGTCTACAAGGTCAATAACTAAGGGACAAAGGAGAGTTTTAAAAAAACACACCCAGTAACACTATGTGATCCTTAAGAAGGTTTGCTCAGAGAAGCTAGCGAAATTGCTCTCTCACCAATTGCCAAGGAGGAAGTGATGAGCACAGCTGACAGTTCATTTAAAAAGATGCTGCAGCTAAGCTTATAGTTCATAAAGGCTATAATCCTAAGGGAGGTGGGAAAGGACATAAAGGTGGTTTAACCACCTTCTGCAGGCCTTGCAGGAGCAGGACAGGCAGAGTGAAGACAGCGGAACAATCTTGCATTCCTTCATGTGTTCCATGGCCTGTTTGTTTTAAATTACATTTTTTTAAAAAACATATTCCCTCCTATTGGAAACAATGAGAGGGCTCACGGAAAGATTTAGACACACTTAAAAAGCATCTTTAAATTTCCCCCAAGTTTGGGGGTATGACAGGGAGCCAGGAGGGCTTAGAATCCAACCACGTCTCAGCATGCCTCTGGCACACGCTCTGTTGGGCCCTTTGGACATCAAAACTCCAACATCCAGGGCTTCAGAGGAGCTAGTAAGTAGCAAAGGCAGCTTTCCTCTCTAATGTTGGAGCTCTATTCCAGCATCAGGGGATAGATCCTATTCATCTTGTGGGGACTGACACATTCTCCCGGGGACTATAGGATTGCAGCCTAGGTATGCATTTCAGTGTAGTGTCAAGCCAACTCGCCAGGTAATATCCAGTCTCTCTTCTACTAACATATGCAAATGATTCAATTTAGATTGAATTTCCTAATAAAAGGTGCACGTAAGAAGGGAGGTTCCTGCAATAATTTTGTTATTTAAACCGACTCCATTACTAATTTGCTGAATTCATTTATTTTTAATTTATTAAAGTTACCTTGATTTCCTTATTCACTAAGAAAAATTACATTGGTTTCTGTCTCTCTCTTTCCTTTCTGCTGTATCCTTTTTTCGTGTTCTGCTGCCACTAGAGACAATGATGATCACAGAACTTATTTTAGTGGGCACCTTCTGGCAGCCGCCATTTTTTATCTTCCCTTAATTTCCCAGACATCATGGCACCCCCCCACCCCACCCTCCGCACCAGCAGCTGCCATTTCCCCCACTGATAGATACAATATCTGAGGCATTCTGGGAAAATTAAATGGCCGCTCCTAGAGGGTACCCACTAAACTTAGTTGCTGCTGCTGGAGAAGATCAAGGCCCTTGCATCCCTGAATGAGTGGTGAATGGTATGAATGGGGTAATGAAAACAAACCCCTTTGTATCCATTAATTACTTGCATCCTTTGTATAATAGCAAATGAAATTTGAACCAAGTTGGCCCCATTCAGTTCAGATGTTTCCCCCCCCCATTCATAGTGAAATGTGTTACATCCCTAGAAGCTACTAACTGCCGGATCCTGTGAATCAGTCTTAAGCTTCTGCAACACAAACACACCCCTATGTTTGGTTTACTTGCCAAGAAGCCTCTTCCTCCCCTCTCTTGTTGTCAGTGCTCATCAACACATTAAAGCTCCTGTGCAAATGCTGCCTTTAATTGCTGTCATCACAGCAAAGATATGAGTTATGCTTTAGTGCTGTGTGCTAGAACTGTCACTGTAGCAGCTCACATAACACAATCAACAGCTAGCAGGAGAGCAGAGGGCAATGTTTCGCAGAAAGATAATGGGAGTGTTTTAAATCTTCTTGATGCCTCCCAAGCTCAAACTTGCATGCAAACTTTCAGATGTTTGCCTCTTAGTCTGAACCCCCTGCCCAACAATCCCAGATGCTGATGAACTGAAGATAAATAAGATGTGAAATATCTGGGTCTGACTGGTTTTTTTGTTTGTTTGTCCTGCCACTTTCCCTGGGAAAACCCACTATTTACTGCTGAATAGGAGCAAATAACAATCCGTTGAAAAACTGATATTCCAAAAAACATTTGTTCCATTTCAGTGGTAAGCGGCACGTTTTCCCAGGGGAAAGTAGCAGGAGAAGCAGAAGTGTGGACGAGACCTTGATCTACAGTGTAATGGTCATTCAAGCCCTAAAGAAGTAGCAAAATGAAACTACTGGTGTGAACAGGGATGTCCATCCAGGGCCACTGAATAGTTGGCCACCGAATTCGGCAAGCTGATATCAAACTATATTGCTTTAAAACTCTTAAGCAGGATTTAAATATTTAATTATTATTTTTTTTAATTGTTGCTCAAAATTCAGTCTGCTTGTTCTCATCTCCCAGATCTAAAATTATTAATTCTGAACTTTGCTAAAGTGTGGATTTCTGCATTATTTTGTTTTGGCTTTGCAACCATTCCCCATGGACCGCAGCATGCCAATATAAGACAAACAAACAATGTAGTGTGATGTGAGACAGGTGAATTAAGCTTCTGCCTCAAAACAGGAGCGTGAGGAACTCCTGGTGGCCTACTGAACCACATACTCTTCTGAGTCTTCTTTGCCGCCACCACCCTTCATTGTGCAGTTGCTCAGTCCTTTGCGTGGACTAATGTAGAAGGTGCAGAGTACATTCTTTCCCCATTTATCTCACTGAACTGCAGGAGCCAGATGCAGGCTATGGAGAAGTTCTCCTTTCCATCAGCTATCTGCCTGCAGCAAACCGTCTGCTTGTGGTGCTCATAAAAGCCAAGAATCTCCACTCCAAACAGCTGAAAGAGCTTCTTGGGAAGGGTGAGTGTGAAAGAGGAACGTGTTGATGGGATGCAACCACAGACTTTGCCTTTCTATTAAGCCAGGTAGAGAAAATATATTTAATTAGCTGGCATAATGAAGTGTGCAGGCTTTGAGTGAGTCACAATTCCCCTTTCTGCATTTTTTTTAAATTTAAGCTTTTTTAAACAAGATAGAAACAAAGGGGGAGGGGGGGAGAAAGAAAGAAAGAAAGAAAGAAAGAAAGAAAGAAAGAAAGAAAGAAAGAAAGACACCACCAGGGATTCCCTGTAGAGGAAAGTTTTTAATGTTAGCTGTTTTATTGTGTTTTTATATTTTGCTGGAAGTCACCCAGAGTGGCTGGGGCAACCCAGTCAGATGGGTGGTATATTATTGTTGCTTCTCCTGTTGTTGTTGTTGTTGTTGTTGTTATCATCTCATTAGATGGGTCTTAGGCAAGCTAGTGCCTCTGAGTCTCAGCTCCCCACTGCCCGCTGTTAATTTGAAGATAACAATACTGTACTGACCTACCTCACAGTGTGGCTGTAACATTTGCTGAGATATGGAGTACTTGGAACACTCTAAAGTCCTGACTAAATGCTCTTTATTGTTCATTATAATGCCTTTCATTAAGCTTTCCAGCCAGCAATGCCTAATGTCTGCTTGCTTGTCCATTCAGCTTTGGGCAACATGGCCTTTTATTAGCATAAGTGAATCGATCGTGCCCAGTAGTGCAGTCCTGTAGCACTGAAAGAAGGGATAAAAAAGTTGACAAGCAGAAATCTTACGCATGCTATGACACGTGGCAGGCAGTGTTACAATAAGCTTCATGAATGAATTTGCATATAGCAGAGATGAGGGAACCTTTGGTCCTCCAGGTGTTGCTGGACTCCAACTTCCATCATCGCTGGCTAAGGCTGATAGGGGCTGGACTCCAAGAATACCTGGAGGGCCACAGGGCCTGCTGTATGGATTGTATATTATGTTATGGTAGATGTCAGAAACTTAGAGCCAAACTAGTTGTGATGGGACTGTCATTCACATTTGCACCCTGTTCCTATACAGTGTTCTCTCTCTCTCTCTCTCTCTCTCTCTCTCTCTCTCACACACACACACACACACACATACACACACACACACACACCTTAACACAAAAAGGAACACATAAAAGTCACTCACTGAAACTTCTCCTACCCGTTAACTTTCCACAGTTGGTTGTTTCAGTAGGGTTTCTCTGCTCCCGGCTCTCCTTCTAGGAATCAAGGGAATGGGATGGAGATGGACATCAGCAGTGCATTTCCTTGGTCTCCTTTTACTGTTAAAGCAAGACCCCCATCTGCTGCCTTATATAAGGATTGGGTTGACACATGAAAAGAACCAGCATCCACCACAGCCACATCTAGTTTGGCCCTCAATGACTGCTGCAGTTTACCAATAAGATTTTAGAAGGCTAGGAGAAAATGGTATCAAATGACCGCTTTTTTTATCTATATTCCTGTCCCTGCAGATATATCTGTTAAGGTGACCCTGAAGCACCAGTCCCTGAAACTGAAAAAGAAGCAGACGAAGCGTGCAAAGCACAAGATCAACCCCGTCTGGAACGAAATGATCATGTTTGAGGTGCCCCACGACCTGCTGTGTGCCTCCAGTGTGGAGCTGGAGATGCTAAGCCAGGATGGAGATGATGGGCAGAACCGCTTACTGGGGAAGTGCAGCCTTGGCCTGCATGCCACCGGCACAGAAAGGAACCACTGGGAAGAGATGCTGAGGAACCCCAGAAGGCAGATTGCTATGTGGCACCAGCTACACATGTAGCTATGGAGGTAGACAGGCCAACCAGCCCAAGTCCAGTAGACCTGGTCTCAGGGCTGGGTGGGGTGGGGTGGGGAATGAGATCTATTTCAACATCCAGAAAACCATGAAATGGACACATTCACAAGCACAAGTCTTGTTTTATTGGTGTTGTCTTTCGTTGTTTCTGCTGTAAGAACATTCTGGAAACGGGCTGAGAAAAGTAGCCAGTGGTTCATTTCTCTTTGCAGGACCATCTTCTTGCTTTCTACATATGGGTCTTCTGCACCAAGTAGCAAGTAATATTTACTTGCAGAAAATGAGATGAAAAGTGATCTGATTCAAGACATTTAGAGTGCTAATGGATGGTCTATTTATGGAGCATCCATCATTCATTGATCTGTTTACAGGAGGAGTATTTATTTACTGATTTATTTCATAAAATTTATATACCACTTGACTGTAAAAGAAAAAACAAGAAAGTGGTTTACAAAAAGTGTAGTTGACATTGGCTACTTAATGAGCATTCCTTCTGATTTGATTGCAGGAGGTTAGATAACATTGCATCAAAGCAAGGGTTATGCCACACTTCCGAGTGCATTTTCCTGTCACTTTTGTTATTGCAAAAAAATCTTATCTTTTGGGGAAGCGGGTTTGTTGTGCGAGAGTTCCCAATCAACTATAATTACTCAACATGAATTTGCTGCTGTGAGATTGGATCCAAATTGAAAATAGAATGTTCTGGAAGTGCCCTTAAAAACATAAGAAGAGCCTGCTAGATCAGTCCAATGGTCCATCTAGCCCAGCATTCTGTTGTCACAGTGGCCAACAGTGACTGACATTTGTTTTGCCCTGACCTATGGAAAGCCCACTAGCAGGACCAGAGCACAACAGCACTCTCCCCTCCTGTGGTTTCCAGCAACAGGTGTTCAGAAGCATTTTGCTTCCGACCATGGGGGCAGAGAGTAGCAACTGGTAGCCTTTACCTCTGTGAATTTGTCTAATCCTCTTTTACAGCCATCCAATTTGGTGACCATCACAGCCTCTTGTGGGAGCAAATTACACAGTTTAACTATGTGCTGTGGGAAGAAGGACTTTTGCCTGTCCTGAATCTTCCAAAATTCAGCTTCGTTCAATGCCCACAAGTTCCAGTGTTTTGAGGGAGAAAAACTTTTATCTCAATGGAATGAATAATTGTATACATATCAATCATGTCCCCTCTCGCTCGCCTTTCTTGCAAACTTAAAATACACTAATGCAGCAGCCTTTCCTCGTAGAGGAGTCACTCTGTCCCTTTGATCATTTTGGTTTCCCTTTTCTGATTTTTTTCCAACTCTACAATATCCTGTCTGTAGTGAGGCAACCAGAACGGCACACAGTATTCCAAGTGTATTTGCACCATAGATTTTTTAATGGCATTTTATTTTCAATTCCTTTCCTAATGATCCCTAGCACAAAATTTGCCCTTTTCATAGTTGGCTCAATGTCTTCATTGAGCCATCCACCACTACCTGAAGGTCTCGTTTCTGATCACACTCTGCCAGTGTATATGTGACTGACATTTGTTTTGCCCTGACATGCATCACTTTACATTTGTTTACATTGAATGGCATTTGGTATTTATTGCCCATTCACTTAGTTTGAAGATGTCATGTCAGATCACTTCAAAATGCTAAAGAAAAAACACACGACCCTGAACAATTTAGGATCATCAGCAAATCTGGCCACCCCACTGCTCACCCCCAACTCTAGATCATTGATGAACTAGTTAAAAAGCACAGGTCCGTCTACTGATCCTTGGGAGAGTCCATTTTCTACATCCCTCCATTGGGAGAATTGTCCCTTTATTCCTGCTCTCTGCTTCCTGTTACACAGCCAGTTCCTGGTGCACAAGAGAACCTCTCCTCTTATTCCATGACTTCTAACCTTACTCAGTAGTCTTTGGTGCGGTACTTTGTCAAAAGCTTATGAAAAGTCCAAGTATACTATGTCAGCTGGATCAGTTCTATATACGCTTCTGGACACTCCCAAACAACTGTAATGGATTAGTGAGACAGGACTTATCCTTGCAGAAGCCATGCTGGTTCTCTTTAAGCAAGGCTTGTTCTTCTATATGCTTGCATATTTTATCTTTAACTATACTTTCCACCAGTTTTCCTGGGACAGACTTTAAGCTAACCAGCCTGTAATTTCCTGGCTCCCCACCACCACCAGATCCCTTTTAAAAATGGTATTACATAGGCTGTTTTCCAGTCCTCATAGTGATACCCTCCTTCTCCAAGACCCACCCTCTCCATAACTGCAAGGCAGCTATTATCATGAGAATGGGGTGTAGCTATAATGTCCCGGCAGACCACCCACTAACTTTGCTACCTCTCTCAGCTTTTCCAGTTCAGCTACCTTGAGCTCAAGGGAACAAACTTGTCCCCAGAATGCCAGGAACTCATTGCACTGATGACATACCCATAACTTCTGTCCAGCAGGCAGATATTAATCATACATGTGGCAGACAGTGTGAAACCCACAGCATGTCATGTTTGAACCTTATCTTGTTTGAATGCCTTATGCAGGGCATCGGGTCTCGGGACATTCCATGGAAAGGGTGGGTTTTGAGGAAAGATTTAAAGTAAGTAAGTGAGGTGTACCCACAGAGGTGCTGTAGGATTCAGTTCCAGGCATAAGGGGAAACAAGAAAGAATGAAAAGGCAAAATCATGTCAGGAAGCAGAAGACCTTTGGACAACTGAGGATAGTGGAGCCAGATGTACAAAGGCCACAGGTAGGAATGTTGCAACATATAAGAAATAATTAGGGCTGGCCTGGTACCCGAGACATGCTCCCTCCCCTCCATATACAGAAGCTGACCAGAGCACCAGTTTAATCTGGTGATGGGACAGAGTCCTTCAGCATACCTGGGGACAGAAGGTTAGCTAGCTTTAGGGAGTATGGCACAAGTTACATTACATGGACAGCTCCATTTTCCAGCAGGTGAAGCTGCTACAGGGGAGTGAGGAGACTCCAAAAAATGTCTAGAGAGGGCTGCCATTGCTTCCCTTCACCCTCCAAAGATAGCTGCCTCACACTGCCTAATGGGAGGACTGGCTCTCAGGTGCAAAGTTATGGGGAAGTTTTGGAGGTAAGGAAGAGAAGCTTGTGTAGGATCCAGGGTGGTCAGGTAACCACTGTAGTATTTTATTATTGTTGCTATTATTAATTTAGAAGCTTAAATCTTTCCTGCAGTTCTTTATATTCTCAGCTGTCAGCTTCCCCTGGAAGATTCTAGGGCTGACTGGAGGAACTATAAATAATAAGCCCGAGGGAAGATGTTGATGAGGGCCTTAGTCATTGTTTAAGTGCTTATGAACACATTTCAGACTGGAACACCTGGAAAAACAGTTGGAAGGAAAGTATTTTTGCTCAAGCATGAATGTCATCAAACATTTCAGGTTAGACAAAGGTCTCTGCTTGTATTTTTCCTCAGCGGATCTCCTCAAAACAAAGAGCTGGCTTCGCTCTGCAGAAATGTCTAATATAATCATTGAAGCAGAAATATTTTGCTTATAAAACAAATAATAAAGGTGGAAAAGCCATTCTATTAGTTTTAGTTTTTAGTTGCCCTGTCAGTTTTCAGATACATGAACATTTTACATTGTGCATTCAGGGTCAAAATCAGAGTCTTCTTTAGTCTTCTTCAGGCATTCATAATCTGTACACCATGATAAGCATCCTTGTGGAGAACCTCTATGTGGGAAGAGCCTCCATGAATCCAGGAGTCTTGCCACTTCACACAACTTATGGAGGGTGAGAAGGACACTTGTCCCTTTGGCCTCCCCTCACAGGAATACGGTACACAGATTACGAATGCCTGAAGAGGGCTTTTGATGCCACTCACTACAGCTGAAGAGGAATATAACAGAAAACAGAAGCATTGTCTCCTAGTGTTTAGATATTGGCTGCTCCAGGCTGGAAAGAATATCAAGAAAGCCCATTCTATGGCCTCCTTCCACTGCCCTCTTTATTGGGGGATAGTGCTATGCAAGAGGTACTTGCAGAGTATCCTGTCTAGCTTGGGGGCTAGGAGGGACACAAAGGCAGCATCTGTGGCACAGTCCTCTCTTAAGCAGTCTGTTTTTTTCTTTATTGCCCTTATCTCCAGTTTGGCTTGCAGAGTGCCAGAAACAGAGCAGGGTTTCTAGCAGTCCACCCCTTCTTAACTTTGACAATAGTGCAGAATCGTAACTAACAGTGGCAGAAGAGTGGGTAGGAGGTCCCCTATTGGTGATCATTCCTGAACAGTTTTGTTCGTTTGGTGTATTTATATGTGGTCTCTCCATAACCCAGTGGCTAACATTTGAATGATTTAACAAACACACTACCAGCCAGCAGGTAGCTGAACAGTAGAAAGATCCAGCTCAGACTGTAGTGAAGCCATAGCACTATCCATCGTGCTTTAGGGGGTGGGGTGGGGAGAAACCACATCGCGATGGGATTGTGTTTGAGTCTGGCAATCAGGGCTGCAGCTGCGATACTTTATGGGCAGACAGAGCTGCCCTATTCTAAGTCCAACCCATGGAAAAGTACAACTTATGAATTGTAGCCATGTGCATGAACTGAAGAAGCAGTAGGATTCCTAAGTATTCATTAAAGCCCTTGAAAATACACATGTGGGACAGCTCATATCACCAGTACTATGTTCATGCCACTTGCATGAACTATTATTTCATCTTTATTTATTATTGATGTAACCATTAGGTGGCCTCTGGGGAAAGGATCTGGAACGTGATATTCTGCACAGTAGCTAGAATTTCCCTGCAGTGTATTATAGAAATATGCATTTCCCCCCGAACAAAAACCTTCCAAACCCCAATGTGCACCTGCACACCCACACCACCCCATTTGACCTCCTCCTGATTCTTAAGGCAGTATTAAAGAGTGGAGTCTCTTTGTGTTGCGGTTGTGGGATCTCAACTCTTGAGGTTTTTAAGAAGACGAACATTAAATGTATGCTTTCTGCAAATGCAATAA